TCATTCAATTATTGATTACTTAGTTTGTTTATTATTTGGGGGATGGGATCTTGCAATGCTGCCCAGACTGGACTCAAACTCCTGGGCTCAAACTCCTGCCTCAGCCTCCCAAGTAGGTGGGATTACAGGCATGTACTACATCACCTGGCTCAATTATTTATTATTTATAACTCATTATACATATATTCAGATAACTTAATCTGTGAGCTAAACTCTTCCACTTTGTTGGCAGTCATTTCTGTGTTTGCTGTGTGGCTACGGATGCTATGTGTTTCCTCTATGCTTGAGATAGGATGATGGGGATTCTTCAATGGCTGTGTGAGTTGTTATTCTAGGGCACTTAAGAATATGAATTGGTCAATTTTTTATATCTCTACTGATATTCTGTTGTTCTGTTAATTGCTAAAAGACTATTGATCAGATTTCCCACAAGAGGGGAGGATTACTCTATATCTGTTTATCATTCTACCCATGTATACTATACACATATTGAAAGTGTTAATATGTATACACAAAATTAAAATTGTTCTTCTTATTGAAGTGATCTACTTTATATTTAGTAATGCTGTTTAGGTAAAATGTATTTTGTCTAACGTTATTGGAGGTGCACCTGCTCCCCATTGATTACATTTTTACACAGATGGTCATCTTGCATTCTTTTATTGGAATCTTAATATAACTTCTTCTTTGGGTTTACTTCCTGTAAGATGGAGGGAAATGCTCTTGAAGCCTAATTTGTCTGACATTCATATTGTTGCTCCAGATTCTTTTTAATAACCATGAATATGATATATCATTGCCATTGTCATGTGAGGGGTGGGGAAGTGGCCCCAGCTGGAAATATTTGTGCAGATGAGTATTTAAAATGATAAATGTTGGCCAGGCGTGGTCGCTCACAGCTGTAATTACAGCACTTTGGGAGGCCGAGGCAGGCGGATCACGTGAGTCCAGGAGTTCGAGACCAGCCTGGCCAACATGTTGAAACCCCGTCTCTACAAAAATACAAAAATTAGCCAGGCACGGTTATGCACACCTGTAATCCCAGTCACTGCAGCTCCCTGCACCTGCACTCCCCGCACACCACATTCTCTTAACCAGCCCTATTCTTTTTAGCTCCTATCATGTGTACATATACCTTTTCCTGTACCACAAACATTCTGTATAATCTCTTGTGCTGTTATGTTTTATCGTTCAGATCACGGATATACGTCCAACCCATTAAATAGTACAAAGAATAAGGAACATGTGCAAAATATATTTGTGGAATGAACAAAAGAAGTGCCATAGAGCAGTACAGTTTAACAGAAATATAATCTAAGCCCCAAATGTATATTAAATTTTCTAGCAGCTGCATTTAAAAAAGCAAAAACAAGAAGATAAAATTAGTTTTAATAATACATGTGTAGTTGTATATGTCTACACATATATGTTTATGTATATATATACTTATAAGGCCAGTGCAGTGGCTCACACCTGTAATCCTAGCACTTTGGGAGGCCAAGGCAGGCAGATCACTTGAGGTCAGGATTTTGAGACCAGCCTGGCCAACATGGTGAAACCCCATCTATATTAAAAAATACAAAAAATTAGCTGGGCGTGGTGGTGCACACCTATAATCCTAGGTACTCGGAAGGCTGAAGTGGGAGGATTGCTTGAACCCAGGAGGTGGGGGTTGCAGTGAGCTGAGGTCACACCACTGTACACTCCAGCCTGGGTGACAGAGCAAGACTCTGTCTCAAAAAAAAAAAAAAAAAAAAAGTCCGGGCACGGTGGCTCAAGCCTGTAATCCCAGCACTTTGGGAGGCCGAGACGGGTGGATCACGAGGTAAGGAGATCGAGACCATCCTGGCTAACATGGTGAAACCCCGTCTCTACTAAAAAATACAAAAAACTAGCCAGGCGAGGTGGCGGGCGACTGTAGTCCCAGCTACTCGGGAGGCTGAGGCAGGAGAATGGTGTGAACCCGGGGGGCAGAGCTTGCAGTGAGCTGAGATACAGCCACTGCACCCCAGCCTGGGCAACAGAGCGAGACTCCATCTCAAAAAAAATATATATACATATACACACACACACACACACTCTTATATATATATTTACATATATATTTATATATATACTTATATGTGTATATATGTATTTTATTTAAATATGCATATATATGTAAATATAATAAAACATACACATATGTTTTACCCAAAATGTCATAATTTAAACTTGTCAGCAATGTGAAAATTATTAAGATAATATTTATATACTGTTATTTATATTGACTTCAAAACCTGAATGCTTTTTAAATTTATGATACACTTCAATTCAAACTAGCCCCAATTCAATTGTTCAATCACTGCATGACTTTTTCTCCACCTAAGTCATCATGGAGACTTCCCAGCTGCAGAAGAAAGTATGGGGTTTGAGGTCAGCCATTGAAAGCTCCCTGAGAGGCCGGGCGCGGTGGCTCAAGCCTGTAATCCCAGCACTTTGGGAGGCCGAGACGGGTGGATCACGAGGTCAGGAGATCGAGACCATCCTGGCTAACACGGTGAAACCCCGTCTCTACTAAAGAAATACAAAAAAACTAGCCGGGCGAGGTGGCGGGCGCCTGTAGTCCCAACTACTCGGGAGGCTGAGGCAGGAGAATGGCATGAACCCGGGAGACGGAGCTTGCAGTGAGCTGAGATCCGGCCACTGCACTCCAGCCTGGGCGGCAGAGCAAGACTCCATCTCAAAAAAAAAAAAAAAAAAAAAAAAAAAAGAAAGCTCCCTGAGAACTGATCATTCTTGTCTTAGAGATGAAGAGGTAAATTAGAAAATAATTTTATTATTTTTCATGAGCACAAAAGGGCAGATGGTTGGGTAGTATGATGAAATAATTCCAGTGATCATCTCCAGCCTTGGGTTTTTCTCAGATTTATAAAAGAAATAAAGGGTGATGAAGTTGTTTGAGTAATAAAAGCACACAAAGCAACTGAGCAGCAGAAGGATGGTGTGGGTGGCTCTGTGTTCAGGAGATGGCTGGGAAGAGAGGAGGCTGGGGCTGTGCAGACGCTGGGCTGGTATCTGCAGAGCAGACTCGCCATGTCGATGCTGGTCCAGACCATGAGGAACACGAACAGGACATTGTGAATCACCATGACATTGATAAATGATCCTTGCGGGAGTTTTATCTGTTTAGATCATGGATGTACGTCAAACCCATTAAATAGTACCAAGAATAAGGAACACGTGCAAAATATATTTGTGGAATGAATAAAAGAAGTCCCATAGAGCAGTTCAGTTTAACAGAAATATAATCCAAGCTCCAAATGCATATTAAATTCTTGTATGTATGACCTAGTTTGACAATAATCTTGTGAATATCCAGGACCAACAGTGGTGAAACTGGTATTGGCTTCTGTGGTTTCAATGATGTGAACATGGATTAGCATGTTGGTGAGCCAGAGGGAAATGAAAGAGGGAACAAGTCTCAAGGCTGATATTCGGATCACACAATAGTTTACCAAACTCGTTACCAATATCGTAACGAGACATTCACACCACAAACCAGGAGAAAACGTTGGTGTTTTCACACAGTATAACTTTCTGCAAGACATTGAAACAAGACTGTATATCATAACGAGACTTTCATTTCACTTAATTCAACCTTTTCTACTTGGCAGAATAATGGTATAATTCAAATTTTATGATCAATTCCTTCTGCTTATAACTTAACAGAACCCAACCTACAAAATTCTTTAGTATCCATTGGTTAAATAAGAAATTGTCTGTGCTGTTGCTAATATGACATGCTATACCTGGACAAACTCCTCTGAGAAAAGTTGAGGCCCCTATACACAACATAAGAACGCAGGCCACATGGTTACCCCAGGACTCACCTAATTCCCTACTGTCTTGAATAACTGTTTGAGTTCTTCAATTAGTTGTCTTTAAACCTAGGTTTATGGCTCAAAACCATATGCAAACTGAAAATCTCATATTACTCTTAATTTGTATTTCCTCTTACTTTGTATTTCTCCTTTTTAAACTTTGTATCTGTTACTTGTTAAATTTTTTCAGAGGCGCAGCTCCTACCAAGATAATACTGAACCAGCACTTTAAAACGATAGCAAAAGATTGTAGAACAGACAAAATTGAACTTATTAATGGACTCTAGGGAGACTTAGCCTGAGAGTTGCACCCTTCAAATCTCATTTGTTGCTCAAATGCTTTTGACATCGATTCCTAGTCACCAATCACTCCCCAGAAGATGAGACGAGACCAGCAAACTGGGACAGGTCCATCCTGGCATCAAGGGACATCAAATCTTAATTACAGAATGATTGATCAATGATGCTTTCAGAGAAAGTTCTTGATCACAAGGGGAAATCTGAAAGTTGTCAGAACAAAATGGAGTCACTCATGTTAAGATGACCCTGACAAATAGAGCCAGGAAGGCCATGAAGAGAGGGGTCTTATCCTTGTATGCCTGAAAATGAAAAAGACTTTACAAAACCCACAACCTTGCATAAAGGTCTTCGCAACCTTAAACAAAAAATCTTTCTGCAAGGAACGCTGCCCAGCAATTGCCTGTCCAACCTTGGACTAATGTCACCTTTGTGACTGATCTTGGTAGCCAAGGAAAATTCTGTCAAAACAATATGCAATCCTCCCCATTTCTGTCTTCCTTTATCTCCCTGAATATACTCATAGTTTAATATGGCATGTCTATTCCCAATTGCAATGCTCCATTCCCAAATAAACACTGTTACCTTTAGGAAGCTTTCATATGTTTGTTATTTAGGTTAACACTTCTAAAAATTAAAGTATTGTAGTTACAATGTAAAATTATTAGTATTAACAAGATAGACATTGTTATAAAATTATTATTACAGAAATTAAGACCAATTGAGTATGAGAGAGATTATTAAGACTGTCCCAGCCAAGTCACTGAAGTCATAAATTTAAGCTACGACAAAATTTGTTTGTTTTGTTTTTAACAAGGGGAGGGCGCTATTTCCCTTTCTGACAGCCTCACATGAACTTCCGGAACCCTTTGGAGTACTGCTTTCTTCCTAAGTGACCAAGAGGAACAGAACACCGAGCAGCCTGGCAGTGTCCAAGCCACAAGCCGCTGCTCCTCCTTCCTGTACCCTGGGGCTCGTGAAACTCACCTGGTAAGCGCTCCTGAAAAAAGCGCTCCTGAAAAGCAGCAGGTGGTGACTTTAGGGGAGGACAGGCCAAATGGGAGAATCCCCTTAGGATCCGGTTTCTCCATTTCTCAAGTTCTTTTGAAATAATGCTCGTAGAGAAGGAGGATTTTCTGAGAATTGAGGGAAATAAACTCCCAGGACTTCCGGTCGCCATGATGGTTGTGGGCAATCAACAGGGTCGCTGCAAGCATCGGGGGCATCTTTAATGTGGGCAGGAAAAAAACACGATTCCTTACTTCTGCAGCGTTTATAATATCCTTGCCCATTATTTAAAATAAAATATATATGACATAGGTAATAATATATTTTAAATAAAATTGAAGCAATGTATGAAATTTCTCTGTAATTCATCCAGCCACTCTCGGATGTTACCACTGCCCAGAAACCTCTTAACCCCCACCCCCGCGTGATGTATTTGGTTTGTATTTTCAATATTATTTTCTGTAATATTTAAAAGTTATATTTGCTTGGTGTCATGCTGTACAGTCTCATGCAATTTGATTTTTAATCAATATTACTTTTTTTGTGTGTGTGATGGAGTCTCTGCTCTGTCACCCAGGCTGGAGTGCAATGGCACGATCTGGGCTCATTGCAACCTCCGCCTCCCGGGTTCAAGCGATTCTCCTGCCTCAGCCTCCCGAGTAGCTGGGGTTACAGGTGCCATCTACTGCACCGGACTAATTTTTGTATTTTTAGTAGGATGGGGTGTCACCGTTTTGGCCAGTCTGGCATGGAACTCCTGATCTCAGGTGATCCGTCCGCCTCGGCCTCCCAAAGTGCTGGAATTACAGGTGTGAGCCACCGTGCCCGGCCCAATATTACACTTTAAATGTTTATCCACGTTTACATGTAGTTTTAATAATTTATGTTAACTGCACTACAGTATTAATGCAGTGATGATATTATAATCAATGTATCCATTCTTTGATGATGGACATTCAGTTTGTTACCCTGTTTTCTGATAGCAAACCATAATACAATGGACTTTTTATATGCATTTTCTTGTCCACACATAATTTCAAGGGTAGGTGTGTCTTGAAGTTGTCTGGATGTAGCCATTTTATTCTCCAAAGCGGCTGTGTTTTTGCTTATCTCCAATACCGGTTTACGAGTTTCCATAACTACACATTCATATTCATACTTGATTTTTTCAGATTTTCTTATTTGCATCAGTATTGTGGGTGAGAATGATATCTGATAGTGGTTGTCATGCACATTCCCCTGATTACTAGTGAATTTTAACATCTTTTCAGGACATTTGTGTTTTATCCTTTTGATTCCTTATTTATATCATTCGTTCATTTCTTTGTTGTTTGTTTCTTTAATATGTTAAGCAATAATCAATTTTATTCCAAAATTTTTAAAATTTTAGGATTTTAAGTGACAGGGCTTCACCATGTGGCACAGACTGGTCTCGGACATCTGGGCCCAGATCCTCCTACCTCCGCTTCCAGAGTGGCTGGGGCTACAGGCAATGCATGCAGGCAGGGCTACGCCTTCATGCGTGGCTGGGATTTTTATTAGATGTTCTTAAACATTTCCAGTGTCATATAAAATACATTATTTACTATACAAGAATTTTAGTATTTGAACTTTAAGGAATGTAATTTTGCATTGTTTTCTTGTGAAGATGAATACAGATTTTCGTGGGAGTAAAAACAATTTAAAGTGAAGAGTATTTGGTTTTCTTGAAATAATTTGATTTCTAAAATAAAAGTAAACAATCTAAACTTTTTAAATGCAATATGAAAATGTTTTCAATTGAAATTGTGATAGTAACATTTGATGAGTGGTAACTGAATTTTAATTGAAATTTCAATTGAATGTGTATCACAAGTGATAAAAATCATGTGTATTTTAATTTTAATTTTAAAATTTAAAATTTAGTGTAATTTTAATTTGGTTTGTATGACATCCAAACAAATGAAAGTATTATATATATGTACATATGTATAATAACATAGTGTCATGAAAGTATTATATATATAAATGAAATTTTCCATGTGAAAAATTTAGGTGGAGGTTTTTAAACTGTTTATTTACTTTATAAAGAGTAATAAATTCACATAGTCGGCTGCCCAAGCACAGTTGAATATGTCCTGTAGTATTACTTTATGTGTATATATATATATCCAGAGTTTATGCATATACAAATTTTTGCTTTTTTGTTGAAGAGTAGGTTTACACACTGTTATTTACTATGCCTTTTTTTCATTAACAATAGGTCTTAGTGATAATCAGTATCAGTTTTTAGAGATCTTTGACATTCTTTTAAAATTGCATATTGTTTCATCATTGGATGTATCATGATGTCTTTATTCATTCCCTTACTAAAAAACATTTGAGTCACTTCAAGTTTTATTTTATTTTATTTGAGTTTTTATTTTTGAGACGGACTCTTGCTGTGTCACCCAGGCTGGAGTGCAGTGGCGCCATCTCGGGTCACTGCAACCTCCGCCTCCCGCGTTCAAGCAGTTCTCCTGCCTCAGCCTCCTAAGTAGCTGAAATTACAAGCCCGCGCCACCATGCCTGGGTAATTTTTGTATTTTTAGTAGAGACGGGGTTTCACCATGTTGGCCAGGCTGGTCTCGAACTCCTGACTTCAAGTGATCTGCCTGACTTGGCCTCCCAAGGTGCTGAGATTACAGGAGTGAGCCACAGCACCTGGCTGTGAAGGGGGGCTGCCCCTCTACACCTGTGGGTATTTCTCTTCAGGTGGGACACAGAGAAATAAGACACAGAGACAAAGTATAGAGAAAGAACAGTGGGCCCAGGGGACGGACACACTCTGCATGCGAGGACCTGCACCGATGCTGGTCTCTGAGTTCCCTCAGTATTTATTGATCATTATTTGTACTATCTTAGCGAGGAGAGTGTAGCAGGGCAACAGGTGGGGAGAAGGTCAGCAGGGAAACATGTGAGCAAAGGAATCTGTATCATGAATAAGTTCAAGGAAAGGTGCTGTGCCCGGATGTGCACATAGGCTAGATTTACGTTTCACTTTACCCAAACATCTCAGTGTAGCACAGAGCAACAGAGCAGTGTCGCTGCCAGCGTGTCTCACCTCCAGCCACAGGGCGGTTTTCTCCTGTCTCAATAGAACGAATGGGAATGGTCGGCTTTACATCGAGACATTCCATTCCCAGGGAGGAGCAAGAGACCGAAGCCTTCCTCTCATCTCAGCTGCAAAGAGGCCTCCCTCTTTCCCTCCTCCTCCTCCGCACAGACCCTTTAGGGGTGTCGGTCTGGGGGATGGGAAGGTCTTTCCTTTCCAACGAGGCCATATCTCAGGCTGTCTCAGTGTGGGGAGACCTTGGACAACACCCAGGCTTTCTTGGGCAGAGGTCCCTACGGCTTTCCGCAGTGCACTGCGTCCCTCGTTAATCGAGAACGGAGAATGGCGATGACTTTTACCAAGCATACTGCCTGCAAACATATTGTTAACAAGCCACATCCTGCACAGCCTTAAATCCATTAAACTTTGATTCATTACAGCACATGTTTCTGTGAGCACAGGGTTGGGGCTAAAGTACAGGTTAACAGCATCTCAAAGCAGAAACAATTTTTCTTAGTACAGATCAAAATGGAGTTTCTTACGTCTTCCTTTTCTACACAGACACAGTAACAGTCTGATCTCTCTTTCTTTTCTCGACACACACGTTTCTAGAGCAATGGTTTTTTGTTTTTTTTTTTTAAATTATTGATTTCCTGTTTCATGTATCAGAATAGCTCTTTTACTCTGCTATGCTCTATTTGTCTGTTTGTCAGTCTATCCATCTAGAAGTAAATACAGGCATATGTAGGCAGAGTTCAGTATCCATGCATGGATTCCCTAGGTCTTTCCACTGAGAGACTAGGACAATGATACCTTAGTAGCCATAAACACACATAGTTCCCAGAAACAAGGTTCCTAAAGACTGTTTAGTTCCCGTAAATACCCTTAGTTCCTAGAAACCAAGATTTCGAAATACTGTTTTTGAATACAAGGGAGCCAAGGAGAAGTGTTGACTTCCAGGGCTGGGGCAGGAATATACAAGATAAAATTGGAACAAACTGTGACACCAGAACATAAAGAAAAGAGGCTGGGGCATGTTGAGTGAACACAGAAGACAAATGTGCATGACCTCAACCTAATCATGAGAAAATGTCAGAGAAATCCAAATGGATAAACATTCTGTAAAATAATTGACCATGCTCAGCAAAAGTGTTACAATCACAAAAGACAAGGAAAAAATAAGAAACTCACAGACTGGAGGAATCTAAGGACAGATAACAACTAAGTGCAATGTGAGATCCTCGATTAGATCTTGGAGAACAGAGGATGTTAAGAGAAATGTTGACAAAATTCAAATAAGGTCTGCACATTAGGTAATGGTACGATATGCTAACACCAATTTCCTGGTTGGATAATTGTATTATATATACTATTACATATACAATTATATTACAATTACATATATAATTTTACATTATATGTAATACAATAAATGTATATGTGCAATTACTTATCTATAATACAATAAATGTATATGTGCAATTACTTATCTACAATACAATAAATATATTTATGATACAATATATAATAAAATAAATGTATATATACAATTATATATATAACAATTATATATAATACAATTATATATATAGCTAATACCAGGATAAGCTGGTTGAGGATTTACGTCAATCTTTGCTATGTTTGCATGTTTAAAATTATTTTAACATAAAAAAATTATATGGGTTGTGTAGTTGTTTTGTAAAGTTTAACTCTAGGCACCATAGTTTCTATTTTAATGGGTGCATTTTCTTCTTTCATGCAATTGGGATAGTCTGTTATATTAAGAAGCTATTCATTTTTGTATATTAAGATTCTTCTGACCATGTGCAGTTGCTCACGCCTGTAATCCCAACAGTGGCTGGATCTCAGCTCACTGCAAGCTCCGCCTCCTGGGTTTACGCCATTCTCCTGCCTCAGCCTCCCGAGTAGCGGGGACTACAGGCGCCCGCCACCTCGCCCAGCTAGTTTTTTTGTATTTTTTAGTAGAGACGGGGTTTCAGTGTGTTAGCCAGGATGGTCTCGAACTCCTGACCTCGTGATCCGCCCGTCTCGGCCTCCCAAAGTGCTGGGATTACAGGCTTGAGCCACTGCGCCTGGCCCATACTATTCCTGCTTTTTAAAATGAACTATTTGTATCCAAGGAATGCCGCATAATTTTAATAAATCAACTTGTGTTTAACACTCAGGATCATACAGCCCTTCACTGTCTCACCATCCTCTCTCTGCAATATTGTTTCAAGCATCTTTAAACACACAAGTAGGTTTACAATTTCCAGTTGCAGGGAACTAGTGGGGGCACCTCTTAATCACCCACAAGTTGATCTTATCCATAGATCAAGTCTTAATACCATCTTGGAACAAAGCCCTACAATTGTGTTTGTGCAATTACAGTGTGTCCAGCATAGTGTGACCTCAGAGTCTGTGCTGTTTATTTAAGATGCTGAAGAAAAATATGTGACCGGATCAGTTTCCATACTGAGTTGAGCTCTTCACAACTACTATTAGAGATTTAGAAATCAAAACATGAATTCTAGGCACATACATCAGGCTCTTGCTGCTGGAGTCACAATGCACCTAATTATGTCAGTAGAGAAAGCTAGAGAGGGTATATTTGTATATTATATCACCACATATAACAAACCATAATTCTATCTCTGCTACTGAGCAATGCAAAACCAACTCCAATTAGCACCATATTAAGACGAACAGTAAAGCTGCTCAATGAAAATCACAATTTCTTTTTTTTTTTTTTTTTTTTTTTGAGACAGAGTCTCGCTCAGTCGCCCAGGCTGGAGTGCAGTGGCCCGATCTTGGCTCACTGCAAACTCCGCCTCCCGGGTTCACGCCATTCTCCTGCCTCGGCCTCCCAAGTAGTGGGACTACAGGCGCCCGCCACTGCACCCGGCTAATTTTTTGCATTTTTAGTAGAGACGGGGTTTCACCATGTTAACCAGGATGGTCTCCATCTCCTAATCTCGTGATCCGCCCGCCTCGGCCTCCCAAAGTGCTGGGATTACAGGCGTGAGCCACTGCGTCCGGCTGAAATTCACAATTTCTTATGTGGTAGTTTTTATTCTTTGTTTGCATCTCACTATTGTTCTATAGTCATGTCATTTTGAAGTTCTTCACAACTTCTTTAAAAAGAAAGTGAAACAATTGAATTAGTTATTCAAAGTTCATTTTGGTTGAAATTGGTTGAAATATTTTGGTTTGTGTTTATTCTGAGGGAACTGGCCATTTAATATTGGAGAGTTTTAAGTTCTTAGAAGGTGGTTGTGTTTACCTACTAGAATTTTCTTGGTAGCTGTAATGACCTAATGAAAATTCAGAGAAATAATTTGTTTTTGTTTTTGGAGACAGAGTCTCAGTCTGTCACCCAGGCTGGAGTGCAGTGGTGTGATCTTGGCTCACTACAACCTCCTCCTCCTGGGTTCAAGCAATTCTCCTGTCTCAGCCTCCCGAGTTGCTGGGATTACAGGCATGCACCACCACACCCGGCTAATTTTTGTGTTTTTAGGAGAGATGGGGTTTCACCACGTTGGCCAGGCTGTTCTGGAACTCCTGGCCTCACATAATCCACCTACCTCAGCCTCCCAAAGTGCTGGGATTACAGGCATGAGCCACCGCACCATATCACGCTATTTTAATATAGTCAATACGATCAAATAGTCAAAAAGTTAAGATGGATTATTTATGGGTGTTTGGATTTGGGGTGATTTGTAATTCACCAATTTTCTTTTCTGTTATCCAAAGTGTCTACAATGCTATTAATATGTATTTTTACTATTATATAAAACTTAATCTTCAAAAATCACAATAAGATATCACTTTACACGTACCAGAATGGCCATTTTTAAAAGGTCAATAATAACAATTATAGGTGAGGATATGGAGAAGCTGGCACCCTCCTACACTGCTGCTGGGAATGGAAATTGGTGCTTAGGAAACATTGGCTCAGTGCCAATTAAGGTTAAACATAGCGTTACCATATGACCCAGCAGCTCCACTCCTAATTATGTACCCAAGAGAAGGAAATAATCCGGCCGGGCGCGGTGGCTCACGCCTGTAATCCCAGCACTTTGGGAGGCCGAGACGGGCGGATCACGAGGTCAGGAGATCGAGACCATCCTGGCTAACACGGTGAAACCCCGTCTCTACTAAAAAGAAGTACAAAAAACTAGCCGGGCGAGGTGGCGGCGCCTGTAGTCCCAGCTACTCGGGAGGCTGAGGCGGGAGAATGGCGTAAACCCGGGAGGCGGAGCTTGCAGTGAGCGGAGATCCGGCCACTGCACTCCAGCCCGGGCGACAGAGCGAGACTCCGTCTCAAAAAAAAAAAAAGAGAAGGAAATAATCTGTCCACATGGAAATTTGGACCTGAATATTCACGGCAGTATTTTTCATAAGAACCCCAAAGTGGAACTCACTCAAGTGTCTATCGTCTGCTGAATGGATAGAGAATATGTGGTGTCTCCATACAGTGGAATATTATTCAGCAAAGGAGGTTCTGTTATGTGGTATAACACGGATGGACCTTGAAAACATTATGGGAAGTGAAAGAATCCATCACAAAGGACAATATATTGTTTGATGCCCGTCTCAGTCGCTTTCGGCTTCTTTAACAAAAGTATCACAGACCACGTGGCTTAAACAACAGGATTTATTTCTCACAGTTCTAGAGCCTGGGAAGTCCAAGATCAAGGCACTGGTACATTCAGTGACTGGAGAGGACCTGCTTCCTCGTTCATAGACAGCTGACTTCTTGCTCTGCTCTCCCATGGTAGAAAGAGGGAGGGAGGTCTCTGGGGTCTCTTTTCTAAGGGCATTGAGACCATTCATGAGGATTCCACCCTCATGACCTCATCACCTCCCGAAGGCCCCATCTCCTCGTATCCTCACATTTGGAGTTAGGATTTCAACACAGGAACTTGAGGGTGGACACATACATTCAGTCCATAACAACTCCTATTAAATCAAATGTCCAGAATGAGTAAACCTGTGGAGACAGAAGGTGGATTCGTGGGTGCCTGTGGCTGGGTGTGCGTGCATGTGGGGAATGGGGAGTGCCGCTTAGTGAGTTTCTTTTTGAGGTGATGACGCTGTCCTAAAACTGATTGTGGTGATGGTTGTACAACTTTGTAACTATGCTATATACAACACTGAATTGTATAGTTTATTGTGTGGTTTGTGAATTGTGTGGTTGGTGAACTATATATTCTCAAGCCTGTAATCCCAGCACTTTGGGAGGCCGAGATGGGCGGATCACGAGGTCAGGAGATTGAGACCATCCTGGCTAACACGGTGAAACCCCGTCTCTACTAAAAATACAAAAAACTAGCCGGGCGAGGTGGCGGGCGCCTGTAGTCCCAGCTACTCGGGAGGCTGAGGCAGGAGAATGGCGTAAACCCGGGAGGCGGAACTTGCAGTGAGCTGAGATCCGGCCACTGCACTCCAGCCTGGGTGACAGAGAGAGACTCCGTCTCAAAAAAAAAAAACTATATATCCATAAATCCATTATTTTAAAAATCTAATCTTTAAAAAATGTCACAGCAGAACTGGTGAAGGTAATGGGTCAGACAACGGTTCCTAAACCCAAGTATTTTAAAGAAATCTAGGTGACAATTTAGGCAAGAGAAACCATTAGAGTTGTACGAGAGAGAATGGAAGGCAAGGAAAATAATCACACTTTTGCCTCTGTCAGGTTGGAATCTCTAGAAGTTACTATTCTACATGGCTTAACTTGCAGATGCAGGGCTACATCAAAAATAAAAGAATTTGAAAAATCCATACTCCCACTTCATTAGGCAAAAAAAAAAAAAAAAAAAAGAAGTTTCTATTTTGCAGCTCTCCTGTTTCGGCCTCTGTTCTAAGCACCTACCGCTGCTAGGAGCAATTCCACTGATGCACCTCTTTTGAATGAGCAATAAGTGCTTTTGTCAACCTTTTAGAGACACGGAAGCTAAGATTTATCTGACGGTTCTTCCCATGTACCTAAATACAACCTCTTTTAATTTTTTCAGGGTGAAAAAGATACAGTAAAGAGATAAATACAACATTTGACAGATGGACAAAAAGGAGTGTCATGAAGAGAGTAGCAGCAGTGATGAAGAGCTGTGGAGACGGTGAGTGACTTTGCGCTCTGTGCGGGTTCCTGATGGCTGATTCTTCTGCATCTCGTTATAGTTCATGAGATACAGGGCACCATGGATGTTTTCTGGAAGAAAGGTTCTGCTCACATTGTATTCACTCATTCATCTCTGTATGAATGAAGGGGAAAACGCCAGGGGCACCCAGGTGTACTTTTTTTGTTTTGGTTTTTGAAACGGAGTCTCCCTCTGTCACCCTGGAGTGCAGTGGCACAGTCTCAACTCATGGCAACCTCTGCATCTCCAGTTCAAGCGATTCCCGTGCTTCATCCTCCCCAGTAGCTGGGACTACGGGTGTGCACCACCACGCCCATCTAATTTTTGTATTTTTAGTAGAGACAGGGTTTTACTATGTTGGCTGGGATGGTCTTGATCTCTTGACCTCTTGATCTGCCTGCCTCGGCCTCCCAAAGTGCTGGTATTACAGGTGTGAGCCACCACGCCTGGCCCAGGTGTACTTTTTAGACCTTCTCTCTCCTTCCCTGATTTTCACCATGCTACTTCATACCTGAGCAAAAGCAAGTCTAGGGCTGTTCTTCCAGCTCTTTCCTTGATGCATGGACTTATGGCCTTGACCATGCTCTTGACAATCCCACAGCATGGCACCAGATCAGAGCAGAACCATGCAGCCTGACTTACTAAGCCCTCCCGCTGTGCATTTCAGTGGCTCCTTATCAGGACGCGGCTTATCTCTCATTTGTAGAAAACGAATGCACTGTTTTACATGGTCTTGGAACTCAAAACAAATTAATCTGACCAAATATTTCCGTGTATGCAATTCAGACACTGCTGTAGAATGAATGTTTGTGTTCCTCCAATATTCGTATGTTGAAATCCTAACTTCCAATGTGATGTTATTAGGAGATGGGGTCTTTGAGAGGTGTCAGGTGATAAAGGTAGAGCCCTCATGAATGGAATTAGTTCCCTCATGAAGGAGACCCTGGAGAGCTCCTTTCTTTCCCCATGCTTGGACAGAACAAGAAGTCTGCCCTCTATGAATCAGGAGCAGACACCGAGTCTACCAGCACTTTGATCCTGGACGTTCCAGCATCCAGAGCTGTGACAAATACATTTATATTGTTCACAAACTTCTCAGTCCATGCTTTTTAAAAAGAGCAGCCTTGGCCGGGCATGGTGGCTCACGCCTGTAATCCCAGCACTTTGGGAGGCAGAGACGGGCAGATCTCCTGAGGTCAGGAGTTCGAGACCAACCTGGCCAACGTGGTGAAACCCTGTCTCTACTAAAAATACAAAAATTAACCAGGCCGGTGGCAGGCACTTGTAATCCCAGCTACTCAGGAGGCTGAGGCACGAGAATCGCTTGAACCTGGTGGTAGTGCACCAAGATTGTGCTATTGCACTCCAGCCTAGGCGACAAGAGCGAAATTCCATCAAAAAAAAAAAAGGTCTGAAATGATTGAGACAGATGCTCTGGCATGCATAAAAGACCATGGACTAGGATGAATTGTTTGCTTTGGGAACCCAGTGCTTCCTACCTCTTGTGCTAAGTAATTTTAGCCTTCTATGATTAATCACCACAAGGATTTGTGATGAGAGTACTGTATCCTTATTTTACAAGTTAGAAAGCTGATACTTGGAGAGGTTAAGCAACAATTTTGACAGGTCTGTCACTGCTGAGTGATGTCTGTGAAAGGCACTGAATGCAGATTTCTCTGGTGTCCATCATCCTTGACACGCTCGCCCTAAATAAAGAGATCCTACCTTCAAATAAGCTCAGTCCATCCAGGGTTGTGCAAACAACTTCATCAGGTTAACATTCCCTCCTGTTTAGGACCAACGAAGGATAGAAGAGTAGGGCCCTTCTTAGGCTCCTATAGTTTACAAAAACACTGTATCCTTTCAGAAGCCAGTAGTGAGCATCGCCAAGTGTGACAGACTGTGATGAACATCAGGGATTGAGAATCAAAGGAGGCATGCCTCCTGAGATAAGATCAATGTCTACTGTGTGGAAACAGAGTAGATGCAGTTAATTCAGTAAAAATGTGGAGGAATGGCATTTTATTATAGGATGGGCATCAAAGAAGGTGTCTGTTAAGGATGGGCATCCTCTAAGACATTTCTAAGGATGGGCGTCTCTAGGGATGGCATCTGTAAAGCATCTCTAAGGATGCCAGGTCTAAGTATGGACATCTCTAAGGGTGGCATCTCTAAGGATGGCATCTCTAAGGATGGCATCTCTATGGATGGGCATCTCTAAGGATGGATGTCTCTAAGGATGGCATCTCTAAGGACTGGGCTACTTTCACTACATCACAGTGAGGAAATTGTCCAACCATCGAGTTCCTCTGACATACTCACATGCCAACTCCATTTGTGCTTTCCCTGGAACCATGGATCCAGTATCAGTGTAGATGCATCGAACACACAAGGCTAAGGCTACACAAAAAACTGCAAGAAATGAAAACTGTAATTTTTTTCTCAGGCTGAAGCCAGAGTGGGAAATTATTTGTAAGGGACATATATTTGTTGGGGAAAAATTAAAGATTTGACATCTTGCTCCTCTGGTTCATGTACATTCATAAGAAGCAAAGACGTGTAGGTTATTTGCATAAAAATTAGTATATATGTTATTTTTCTTCTTTGTTCTCATACGTTTTTATTTCAACAGTTTCTATCTCATAAGAAGTAGGAAAAAAAAGGGCTGGGCCCAGTGGCTCACACCTGCAATCCCAGCACTTTGGGAGGTGGAGGCAGGTGGATCACCTGAGGTCAGGAGTTTGAGACCAGCCTGAACAACATGGTGAAATCCCATCTCTACTGAAAATACAAAAATTAGCCGGGCATAGTGGCCTACACCTGTAATCCCAGCTTCTCAGGAGGCTGAGGCAGGAGAATCCCTTGAACCCGGGAGGTGGAGGTTGCAGTGAGCTGAGGTCGTGCAACTACACTCCAGCCTGGGAGACAGAGTGAGATGCCGTCTCAAAATAATAATAACAATAATAATAATAATAAAGTTGGGGAAAAAAGAGCAGAGTTTCCATGTAGCCTTCACCTAGCTTCCCCTAACGATAATACTTTTTTTTTTTTTTTTTTTTTGAGACAAAGTCTCACTCTGTTGCCCAGGCTGGAGTGCAGTGGCATGATCTCCGCTCACTGCAACCTCCACCTGCCGGGTTCAAGGGATTCTTGTGCCTCAGTCTCCCAAGTAACTGGGATTACAGGTGCCTGCCACCACACCCAGCTAATTTTCATAGTTTTAGTAGACATGGGGTTTCACCGTGTTGGCCAGGCTGGTCTCAAACTCCTGATCTTGGGTGATCCACCTGCCTCAGCCTCCAAAAGTTTTTGGATTACAGGCGTGAGCCACTGCGCCTGGCTGATAATACTTCCTATAACAATAGTGATATGGTTTGGATGTTTGTCCCTTCCAAATCTCATGCTGAAATGTGATTCCCAGTGTCGGAGGGAGGGCCTGGAGGGAGGTGATCGGATCATGGGGGCATATCCCTCATGAATGGTTTAGCACCATCCCCTTGGTGATAAGTGGCTTGTTACTCTGAGTTCATGCAAGATCTGGTTGTTTAAAAGTGCGTGGTCGCAGTGGCTCAAGCCTGTAATCCGAGCACTTTGGGAGGCCGAGACGGGCGGATCTCGAGGTCAGGAGATCGAGACCATCCTGGCTAACACGGTGAAACCCCGTCTCTACTAAAAAATACAAAAAACTAGCCAGGCACAGTGGTGGGCGCCTGTAGTCCCAGCTACTCCGGAGGCTGAGGCAGGAGAATGGTGTAAACCTGGGAGGCGGAGCTTGCAGTGAGCTGAGATCCAGCCACTGCACTCCAGCCTGGGTGACAGAGCAGGACTCCATCTCAAAAAGAAAAAAAAAAAGTGTGTGGCACCTCCCGCCTCACTCTCTTGCTCCTGCTGACATCATATGACAGGCCTGTTCCCACGTCACCTTCCACCATGAGTTAAACCTCCCCAAGGCCTCCCAGAAACCAGGCAGAAGCTGGTCCCATGCTTGTACATCCTTCAGCACCATGAGCCAATTAAACCTCTTTACTTTGTAAATTACCTGGTCTCAGATATTCCTTTATAGCAATGCAAGAACGACCCAGTATTTTTAGGCCAGGTGTGGTGGCTCACGCCTGTAATCCCAGCACTTTGGGAGGCTGAGGCGGGCAGATTACCTGAGGTCAGGAGTTTGAGACCAACCTGACCAACATGGAGAAACTCTGACTCTACTAAAAGTACAAAATTAGCCGGGCATGGTGGTGCATACGTGTTAATTCCAGCTACTTGGGAGGCTGAGGCAAGAGAATCACTTGAACCCGGGAGGCAGAGCTTGCAGTGAGCCGAGATCATGGCACTGCACTCCAGCCTGGGCAACGGAGCGAGATTTAAATTTTAAATCTTTTATTATTGTTATTATTATTTTATTAATATTTTAAAAATTGAGATGGAGATTTAAAATTTAAATCTATAAATTTAAAAAATAATCATAATAAAAATAGAATAAAACCAATGCCAAATACCCCAAAGCAGGACCCTCTGGTCAACTGGACTGCAGCAGACGTTCTAAAGTCAATGCTGTCCAATAGAGTTCTCACCCAGGACGGCAATGTTCCCTCTCTGTGCTGTCCAGTGTGGAAGCCACTGGCCACATGTGGCTTTTTTTTTTTTTTTAAAGATACATACTTTAATTAGAATTGCTGAAAAAATATTCAGGATTTTTGCTTTCGTTGTTGATGTCTTTAACAGGCTTTATGTTCCAGCTGAAAGCTGGTTTTGCATTGCAATCAAATGTTCTTTTTTTTTTTTTTAGACAAAAGTTGCCTTTAGTAATAATTCCTCAATTATTTTCTTTCTTTTTTTGCTTCCTTTTTTTTTTTTTTATCAATGACTTTTTTCTACAGTTTGGTTTTGAACTTACTTCAGAATTTCTCAACAATTGCTTTCACGGATATTCAGCTGATGGAGGTGTTCACTGTTGTAACCTTTTGTGGAGAGGGATTTGGGAATATCTATCAAACAGTAATGCTCAGGCTGAGTGCAGTTGTAATCCCAGTGCTTTGGGAGGCCATGGTGGAAGGATTTCTTGGGGCTGGGAGTTGAAGACCAGCCTGAGACCTCATCTCTGTTCCCTGGGGTCCTCTCCAAAGCAGATTTTGTTGCCAGACATCCCACGCCTATGTCCATTCCCCAGAAAAATTCTTTTAGTTTCACATGTCTGGGGAGGCCTCACCATCATGGCAGAAATCAAAGGAGGAGCAAACGCATGTCTTACATGGTGGTGGGCAAGAGCCACGTGTGGCTTTTGAGCACTTGAAATATGGCTACTTCAAATGAGGAACTGATTTTCACATTTAACAATTTAAAACTAAGATGTAAATAGGCCTGTGTGGCTAGTGGCTGTCATATTGGCCAGTGAATATCTTGACCTAAAGGACACTCCATCACTTCTAACCTGATGAACCATTGACTGACCCTGTAGAACATGGAGCCCATGTTGGCTAATATTGGAATCACCTGTGAGGCTTTGACAGCACTGATGCTGCGGTCCCACCTCCAGACTTCTGATTCAATTGGTGTGGGCTGTGACCTGGGTATTGGGTTGTTTTTAAAGCTTCCCAGGTTGGAAGTACCTTGGAATATAAATGCATGCATTTCATGCATTGGTTCATTACTGCTTCAGTCTTTGATTCCAACATCATATGATACCAATTGGAGCGATTTAAGCCAGAGAAGCTGGCTGTGTGCACGTTGAACATGGGCACAGTCCAAAGAGAAGAGATGTCAGGACACATTTGGCTCAAGGCAGCACGTTAGCTCCATTATTTATAAATCTGTATAAAAATATCTTTATTCAAAATGTCTTCTATTTTTTGGTAGTCTAGGCCCATCCTATGTAAGAGAACTTTCTGTGATGATGGGAGTGTTCTGTTTTCTGCTACACAGTGTTACAGCCGTGAGTGACATGTAGGTGTTGAGTACTTGAAATGTGCATAGTGCAACTGAGAAACTCAAGTTTACCTAAGTGTAATTCATACAAATTTAAATACCACATCCGGGTAGCGGCTACTCTACTGGACGGTGCAGCTCCAGTTTTTAATAACATCGTCTTCATCTTCATCAACTCATTCTTGATATTTTTCATCTTTTTGTGAAATGAGGATCCCAACCTCCAGCGTATCAGAAGACCAGGAATCTTCAGAAGAACAAGTTTCAGGTAATGGGCTAATAGGGAGAGGACTGAAGGGCGTGTGGATTGATGGAAATGTTCTGTGGTTTTATGTGGAGAAGACAATTTAGAGTCTTTTGCGCAGTGAAGAGATCAGGAGTGATTTTCCTTACCTCGGCCACAGTGCACTGTGCAGTTTAAATGGGGACATGTAAGCCTCTCACCGCTGGGGCACGGAAATGCTCAGGGGAACCAGGGGATGGTCCTGGTGGCTGGGGACAGCAGCAGGGACTAGGAAGGATGCACGCTGTTTCACCCTGCAGAAAAGCTCGATCCTTTTCTGACCTGGACTTGCCTCACCAGCAGATGTCATCTGCTACTTGGGGCCAGTAGAAACATAGGTGCATTGGTTCCAGTCCTCAGCAAACGGTGCCTCCCACCAAAGCTGTCCAGCCTGGCTTCCCAGAAAGCCCTGTGGAATTTGGGGTATACTTTTAGTCATGAGCAAAACTCCATATTCTGGTCACTCTGTTCTCTTTCAATATCTGTATCCCAACAGCACCTGTGCAATTCAGCCTCCAGGAGTCCTTCAGGCCATGCCTCTTCCAACCCTTTACCTCTTATGTGTCTAGTATCTTTTTTTCAGGAGCTGTTTACTCAGAAATGCATCAGATGATTTCCTCTATTTATGCTGAACTCCATTTTATGTTCAAACAAGATTATAAATATGATCAGTTTCTGGGGCCTGAAGGAAATGTGGATGTTGAGTTGATCAATAAGAGTGCAAACAAATACAGGTAAGAATGGAAGATGCTGATTTGAAAACAGCTCTGATATAAACGAAGTGTATTGGCTCTGTCCCTTATGATAGCTAAAATTTAATCAATAATGTTTATTTCATGCACTGTGAAATTGGTATTTTAATTTCGATATATATATAGAGTGCAGAGAAATTGGGGCCCAGAGAGGTTAATGAACTCCCCAGCGTTTTCTAATGTAGTGAAAGTCGCAGATGGGTCCTGAACTTGCCTCACTTCAAATCCCACCTCCCTCTGCACATCGCTGCTTAAATCCAGTTCCTGGGGTTCTCCCGTCATGACATCACTCTGCCTCCTTTCAGCCTTCGGTTCCCCACTGCTGGCTGGTATCTGTGGTCGGCCACCGGCCTCGGCTTCGTGGTAAGGGATGCGGTCACGGTGACGATTGCGTTTGGTTCCTGGAGTCAGCACCTGGCCCTGGACCTGCAGCACCATGAACAGTGGCTGGCGGCCGGCCCCTTGTTTGCTTTCACTGCAGAGCCAGAGGAGGCTGTGGCCAAAATCCACCTCCCCCACTTCATCTCCCTCCAAGGTAATGCGGGGTGAGCGGAGGCTGTGGGGGCTGCCGGGGCGCGTGCTGTCTCACTGCTGTTGCGGTTCTCCTGCGGCAGGTGAGGTGGACGTCTCCTGGTTCCTCGTGGCCCATTTTAAGGATGAAGGGATGGTCCTGCAGCGTCCATCCCGGGTGGAGCCTTTCTATGCTGTCCTGGACAACCCCAGCTTCTCCCTGATGGGCATCCTGCTGCGGATCGCCAGGGGGACGCGTCTCTCCATCCCCATCACCTCCAACACGTTGCTCTATTTTCACCCCCATCCCGAAGACATTAAGTTCCACTTGTACCTTGTCCCCAGCGACGCCTTGCTGACGAAGGTAAGCTGAGCGATTTAGGAGACCAGAGAAGATGACAATGATATTTCCAGGTTATCCCCTCGGCCCCTCCAGTGGAACAGAAAGGGCAAGGCACAGTTTTCATGGAGAGAACATGGATCACTCTCCCCGAGGGTCACCTATAGGTGCTGAATATTGAGCCACATGCAACAATCCCCATAGAAATTCAGGACTACTGAGACAGGGTCTTGCTCTGTCACCCAAGCTGGAATGCAGTGGTATGATCTCGCTACAACCTCCGCCTCCTGGGTTTAAGCGATTCTCCTGCCTCAGCCTTCCGAGTAGCTGGGATTACAGGCAAACGCTGCAATGCCTGGCTAACTTTTTGTATTTTTAGTAGAGACGGGTTTCACTATGTTGGCCAGGCTGGTCTTGAACTCCAGACCTTTAGTGACCCTCCTGCCTCAGCCTCTCAAGTGCTGAATATACAGGCATGAGTCACCGTGCCCGGCCTCTCACCAAATTTTAGACGGATAATATCTGAATGACAGTCTCACACTTGCTCACATCTCTAGGGTAACTCCTTCCTTTCGGTGGCATCTCCCTCTAGCGCATTTACAAAAGGCTGATGGTCCCACACCCTCTCTTAGGTTAGGGATGGAGCGGATGTTCTGCTTTCTGCAACTCCATAGCTGCTGTGTTTCCGAATAAAATGCGGCTTCTGTGCCTCCAGCCTTGGTGCGAAGATTATGCCAGGAAGATTTCATTAAACTTTACCGTCCTGGCGCCTACCATCTTTGCATCCCAAGCACAAGAGGCGAGAGCATGCCTGGCTGTATTTAAGGTGGTTACTGTGGGTAATTTAAATACAGCAGAAAATTGGCTGAGGCGATGGCTCTCGCCTGTAATCCCAGCACTTCGGGAGGCTGAGGGGGGCAGATCACCTGAGGTCAGGAACTGGAGACCACCCTGGCCAACATGGTGAAACCCCGTGTCTACTAAAAATACAAAAATTAGTCGGGCGTGGTGGCGTCTGTGGTTGGCAGGGTTTTTTTTAAAGCGGTTTGAAAATAGAACTCCATTCTCTCCTGGGTTAGTACGGTTCCTGCTGAGATGTCTACTGTTAATCGCATGGAGTTTCCTTTCTAGGTGACTAGATGCTTTTCTCTTGCTGAGTTTTGGATATTTCCCTTCACTTGGCCTTAGACAGTCTGATGACCATATCTTATGGTGAAGTTCATGTTGCAGGGTATTTTGCTGGTGATCACTGGGCCTCCTTTATCCAGATCTTTAAATATCTTGCTAGACTAGGAAAATTTTTGTCAGTTATTTTCTTTTTTTTCTTTTTTTTTTTTTTTTTTGAGACAGAGTTTTGCTCTTTTTGCCCAGGCTGGAGTACAATGGCGCGATCTCGGCTCACCACAACCTCCGCCTCCCGGGTTCAAGTGATTCTCCTGCCTCAGCCTCCCGAGTAGCTGGGATTACAGGAATGTGCCACCACCCCGGCTAATTTTGTATTTTTAGTAGAGACGGGGTTTCTCCATGTTGGTCAGGCTGGTCTTGAACTCCCGACCTCAGGTGATCCACCTGCCTCGGCCTCCCAAAATGCTGGGATTACAAGCGTGAGCCACCGCGCCCGGCCATTTTCTTAGATTCTAAGTTTTTCCTTTTTCTTCTCCCTTGGAAATACTGATGATTCGTAAGTTTCATTGCTTTATGTAGCCCCATACTTCTATTTATTTATTATTTTATTTTAGCCTGACTGGGTTAATTAAAAAGGCTTGTCTTCAGGTTCTCTCTGCTTGTTCCAGTCTATGATTAAAACTTTCCACTGTATTATATTTTCAATGAATCTTTCATTTCTAGATGTTAATTTTTTAAAGATATCTGTCTCCTTGGTAAATCTCTAGTTCACACCCTGAATGAATCTTCAGATTTTTTTGTGTTGGTTTTCAGATTTATCTTGCATCTCTTATTGAGCTTCTTTAAGCTCAGTCTTTTGAATTATTTATCTGGCACTTTGAAAATTTCATTTTGGTTAGGATCCATTGGTAGAGAATTACTATGTTCCTTTGGGGGTGTCATAACACCTTAAAATAAAATAAAATAAAATAAAATAAAATAAAATGCAGTGAGAGAATCTCTGCATATTATTTCTTCTGCCCATCTCCTCCTCGAGACCCAGAAGAGGAAGCTCCCTTCTCGGTAGTCCTAAATTTTATGGAGATTGTTGCATGTGGTTCAATATTCAGCACCAATAGATGAAAATTTCATTTTGGTTAGGATCCATTGGTAGAGAATTACTATGTTCCTTTGGGGGTGTCATAACACCCTGATTTTTCATACTTCCATTACTGTAATGCTGTGTCCCCACCCAAATCTCATCTTGAATTGTAGCTCCCATAATTCCCACGTGTTGTGGGAGGTGATTGAATCATGAGGGCAGGTTTTTCCTGTGCTGTTCTTGTGAGAGCAAATAAAACTCACGAGATCTGATGGTTTTATAAAGGGAGGTTTCCTGAACAGGCTCTCTCTTGCCTGCGGCCATGTAAGATGTGACTTTGCTCCTCCTTTGCCTTCCACCATCATTGTGAGGCTTCCCCAGCCATGTGGAACTGTGAGTCAACTAAATTTCTTTCATTTATGAATTACCCAGTCTTGGGCAGTCCTTTACAGCAGCATGAGAACAGACTAATATATCTATTCAGCACATATTTATTATGTGCCTTATATATTCCAGGCACTATTTTAGGGGATGGGGATACATCAGTAAGAAATAGTGAAAAACATGACAACCTAAGATATTACATGGAATGTTCATGCTATGGGAAAAATATATGTATATATAGTAAGAACTCTAACAAATAAAGAATGCTATTCCATTCTTTGAAAATAAGTACAGCAGTATGTCTCTCGACCTCTTCAGAAATCGGTCCATAATGATAACCCTGCCAATGTTATACTGATGTCTTTGGTTCTTATACTTCCAATTTGTTGTTGTTATAATTTACATTGAATATATCGGTTCATTTAAAATAATCATTTATCAGAGATGGCAGGATACATCATGTCTTTCCTCCGTCAGTTTCTTTTTATCCTTCTGGAGCTGGTTCTCTTTATAGGCATATGTGTGATGCTTCTTGGATAGGTCTCCACATCCCTTTGCTGCTTAATCCCCATCATGATTTCATCCCTTTGCTCAGTATAACTTGAATTTTTTTCTTTTATTTGATATTCCAGGCCCAGTTTATATTTCAGCTTTGCCCATTCTTTCTTCATTACTACCACTGATATTTTAAAATGAATATAATATGCACATAATGTATTGCTCCATAATTTTCAGAGTGGACACGCCCATGTATCCAGCACCAGAACAAGATACAGAACATCTCCAACTTCTCTGAGGCCCCCTTGAACACTCTCCCAGTCATTACCCCAAGGGTGTCTAACAGCTGGACTAGTAATGCCACCTACTGTCAATTGCTTTTAGTTTAAATTCTTGCTCGTTATTTCCATAAAGTCTCTATTGAGTTGCCCCTGAGACTTCTGAAAGGTTTTCTTATTGTTTGAATTCCATTCTATGTCCTTGGTGCCTGCTCAGATAATTCTGAGGTCTCGCCTTCTGCTCCAGCTTCTGGACCTCTCAGAGGGGACCTCACTCTTCTGTATCTGCTCCCCGGTGCTCAGGTGGCCGAGCATCTCACAGCAGCCGTGTGATGGAGAGAAGTGACATCTCTACCCTCACCCATCAGAGACGTGTTCACAGACACAGCCGAGCTACCAGTCCTCGGCTGAGGCACCAAAAGGAAGTCCCTTTGTCCCTGGGTTTTATAAGTCCCCTGGTCAAACTCTCCACAGTGTAAAAATAAAATCAAACTGTACAGGAGTTTATGATAAGTTTACCATTCACAAGAAACCCTTTGGCTCTGAGATGTCCATCAGCAAAATGTTAATACCATGTCTATTTTGCATAGAGGCATGTTTACATCTATCTATCTAGTTTACCACTCTACCACCTATCTGTCTATCTCTGTATCTCCTTCTGGGTGTTGGATACATGGGTGTATCCACTGTGAAAATTATGAAGCAATAAATTATTTGCATATTTTATTAAAATAGATTATATCTATTTATAATAGATTATAAAATTTAATAGATTATAAAATTTTAATAGATTATAAAATGTATAGATTATAAAAATATAATCTATCTATCTATCATCTCAATCTATTTTTTTGAAACGGAGTCTCACTCTGTTGCCCAGGCTGGAGTGCAGTGGCATGACCTCAGCTCACTGCAACTTCTGCCTTCTGGGTTCAAGCGATTCTCCTGCCTCAGCCTCCCAAGTAGCTGGGATTACAGACGTCAGTCACCATGCCCAGCTAAGTTTTGTATTTTTAGTAGAGATGGGATTTCACCATGTTGGCCAGGCTGGTCTTAAACTCCTGACCTTAGGTGACCCACCTGCCTCGGCCTCCCAAAGTGCTGGGATTACAGGTGTGAGCCACCATGCCTGGCCCCATCATCTCAATCTTTACATCAACTGAATCATATCCTACATGCTACTCAATACAATATATAGAAAACTTTTATGCCACTATTTGTGCTTATTTCTTTTTCTGTGTGCTTTCTAATGTTTCTCCCCGTTATTCCTCAGATGATAGATGATGAGGAAGAGCGCTTCTGTGGTGTGCGTCTACAGACTTCACCCTCAATGCAACCCCTGACCTTTGGTGCCCATTATATTGTGTCTAATTCTGCTCATCTGGAAATAATACCCACGGTTGGTAGAATTCAAATCTAACAACGGATTTCAGAATATTTTGTACTTTTGAAACAAATAGAAGAATTTTAGCAAGATGCAATTTTTTTCATTAATCGCAAATACAAAGTTTTAAAAAATCGAAAATACAGGAAAACGGTCTTAATCAAATTAAATATTTCCAAAACCTTAACACAGGCAGAGGTAACATTTTAGCATTTGGGGCACTTATCTTGTGATTAAAACTGTATGTTCAGTTTTCTAAATTGAAGTTTCCACTTCTCTGTTATGGTTCCCTGCAGGCCTGACATCTTGCCTAGCTAAGTCACTTAAGGAGTATTTGTTAAGGTGTTTGAATGAAGAAATATGATATCTTGGCCAGGCTCAGTGGCTCAGGCCGGTAATCCCAACACTTTGGGAGGCCGTGGCAGGCGGATCACGAGGTCAAGAGTTTGAGACCAGCCTGACCAACGTGGTGAAACCGCGTCTTTACTAAAAATACACAAAAAATTAGCTGGGTGTGGTGGCGTGCGCCTGTAATCCCAGCTACTCAGGAGGCTGAGGCAGGAGAATCACTTGAACCTCGGAGCTGGAGGTTGCAGTGAGCTGAGATCACACCACTGCACTCTACCCTGGGCAATAGAGTGAGACTACATCTCAAAAAATAAAATAAATAAAATTAAAAAAAATATGATATGTATTATATTTTATGTATTTTTACTGGAGATTACTGTATATTTCTGCACAATTGAAATTATTCCTCCCTGTTTTTTTAATAGGACATAATATGCCATGTAGCTAAAACCCTAGAGCTTTTTAAATCACTTCATTATTATTCAGCATTTAGTTGAACTGCTTGTAATTTCTCATAACAAGTGCCCTGGCAATAAATATTTCAACTCATACAGTTTTATGTTTTTCATGTGAAGCTAGAGTGTCCTAAGAGAAATGACTGATTCAAAGAGTACTCATCAAGTTAAAGCTAGTACATTTCCAAAGAGATTTTCAAAGATTTTTCACAATATAAGTTCTCAAGAATAAAGGACGAGATTTTCCAACAAAATATCCATCTCTAGAATAAAGTATCAAAATTTAATTGTTTTCTAATCTGAATGGGAAAAAATGCATCTCAGTCCATTATATATTTTGTTGTTGTTTGTTTTCTTGAGACGGTCTCACTCTGTCTCCCAGGCTGCTGTGCTCACGGCAACCTCCACCTCCTTGGTTCAAGGCATGCTCCTGCCTCCCCCTCCCAAGTTGCTGAGATTACAGTTGTGTGCCTCCGTGCCTAGCTAATTTTTTGTATTTTTTACAAATTTTAGAATTTTAAAATTGCTATTTTCCAAGAGTTATAGGGCTTGTTTCCTAAAGAAACTAGAGATTTGCATGAACTAAGCTTTTCCTAATTCTGTCCTGCCTATGAAGTTAGCGCCTATTCCCCAGGGCAGCTTTCCTTAGGAATCCTGGGGAAGTCGGGTGCAGAACGAAGAGAAGGACGTGAAAGAGACAGGGTTTCACCATGTTGGTCAGGCTGGTCTTGAACTCCTGACCTCAGGTGATCCACCTGCCTTGGTCTGCCAAAGTGCTGGGATTACCAGCGTTGGGCCACCACGCGCCCAGTGCTTATTTGTGTTTTACAGCCTGATCTTCCAGGCTGCTCTTTGTTAGGAGACAAGTGATTTCTTTGAACTGCCTGAGGTTAGAAAGGGAGCAATTTCTGAGCTGCTTCTTGTTAGAAGGAAAGTTTTTCGCTGGGGAATCTCTTCACCCTATCTTCCTAAATGACTTTCTATCTCTGTAACACCAGCCAGACAGTTCCCAGAAGCTCAGTTGTCCTTCAGGCAAGATACATTCTTGGTTGTGGCAGGACCTTCCACAAACATTGTTGGTATGGAGATAAATAAAATACAGGGAGTTCCTTCAATAAAAATGCAAACAGTAAACATGGCATAAGGAATGGCCATCATAAGGCTGGGCGTGGTGGATCATGCCGGTAATCCCAGCACTTTGGGAGGCCAAGGTGGGCAGATCGCTTGAAGTCAGGAGTTCAAGACCAGCCTGGCCAACATGGTGAAACCTCGTCTCCACTGAAAATACAAAAATTAGCTTGGATTGATGGCAAGCAACTGTAGTCCCAGCTACTCAGGAGGCAGAAACAGGAGAGTCACTTGAACCTGGGAGGTGGAGGTTGTAGTGAGCCGATATCACACCACTGCACTCCAGCCTGGGTGGCAGAGCAAAACTCTGTCTCCAGAAAAAAATAAAAATAAAAATAAAAATAAAAAAGGAAATGGCAGTTGTAATATGAGGTGATAATCTTGAGCAAGGTAAAATCTCCTTAGATTCGTCTTCCTTTTAAAGAGACGGAGAACCTAGGCCAGGGGCTGTGTCTCACGCCTATAATCCCAGCACTTTTGGAGCCTGAGGCAGATGGATCATGAGGTCAGGAGGTTGAGACCATCCTGGCTAACATGGTGAAAACCCGTCTCTACTAAAAATACAAAAAATTAGCTGGGCGTGGTGGCGGGGCTGGTCCCAGCTACTCAGAGGTTGAGGCAGGGGAATCTGAACTGGAATGCGGGGTTGCAGTGACCGAGCCACTGCACTCCATCCTGGGACAGAGTGAGACTCTGCTCAAAAAAAAAAAAAAAAAAAAAAAAAAAAGGACCTCACCTTAGAATTTTAAATTGCTATTTCAAGAGTCGTAGGCTTGTTCCTAAAACTAGAGATTGCACAACTAGCTTTCCTAATTCTCTCCTGCCTATAGTCCTATTCCCAGGCAGCTTTGCTCAGGAATCCTGGGAGTCGGGTGCAGAACGAAGAGAAGGATGTGAAAGCACAATGCCACATCTGACCCTTGGCTTCCCAGCAAGGCCAGGACAGACCCGATGAGCTGCCTTTGCCAGTTTTCCTACATTTCTCTACAGTCTGAGATCCTGTTAGTAGAGTTATTCATGGGGAGCCTCAGCACCTAAGGTTTTTTTTTTTTCTTTTGAATGGATATCGCTCTTGTCACCCAGGCTGGAGTGCAGTGGCTTGATCTTGGCTCACTGCAACCTCCACCTCCCGGGTTAAAGCGATTCTCCTGCCTTAGCCTCCCAAGAAGCTGGAATTACAGGCACCCGCCACCACAGCCCACTAATTTGTTGTATTTTTAGTAGAGACAGGGTTTCATCATGTTAGCTAGGCTGGTCTCAAACTCCTGACCTCAGGTGATCTGCCCGCCTCGGCCTCCCAAAGTGCTGGGATTACAGGCGTGAGGCACCGTGCCCAGCCAACACCTAAGATTTTTGTACTCAGCTCAGATCATTTTTCTCTGATTCATGGGGTGTTGAGAGCTAGTTTACTCTTGCTTTCATAGAATAAAATTATTTCCTAACATTGTCAATTTAAAAGGATGTTTACTGACTGGGTGCGGTGGCTTATGCCTGTAATCCTAACACTTTGGGAGGCCAAGGGGGGCAGATCACGAGGTCAGGAGTTCGAGACTAGCCTGGCCAATTCGGTGAAACCCTGTCTCTACTAAAAATACAAAAACTAGCTGGGCATGGTGGTGTGCACCTGCAATCTCAGCTACTTAGGAAGCTGAGGCAGGAGAATCACTTGAACCTGGGAGCGGATGTTGCAGTGAGCCGAGATTGTGCCACTGCACTCTAGCCTGGGCAACAGAGCAAGACTCTGTAAAAAAAAAAAAAAAAAAAAAAAAAGGATGTTTACCTCTCTCCCTCTATTTCCTTCTCAACCAGCTAGGACATTGTGAAGATAACAGGGGGGAAGTTCCATTGACCAGTTCACTGTAGGGAGCTGGGCCTTTCCAACCTCCACTGCTTAAGTCAACTGCTGTGTTTCCTCTAGGAGTTGAAATTGTCCTACAGGAGCCCTGGAGAAATCCAGCCCTTCTCGAAATTCAATGCTGGGCAGATGAAGGAACCCATTCAACTTGAAATTACTGACAAAAGACATGGGACTTTGGTCTGGAAGACTGTGGTGAAGCCAGGTAGGTGAGTGGGTGACGCTGGCATTTTTGGTGAGAGAAAATGCACCTCCACCATTGGATGTCAAAGAAGAGAGCCTGTTTCTCATTCCATCCCACATAAGAAGTCTATTGTCAGTATATCGCCCATGTGAGGACGACGAAAGTGATGGTAGTCCGTGGGAAGTGAAATGCTCAAGGGACCCGAGAATGGGGATGGCCATGGGAATGGAAACCCCTCACACCTGGGGGTAAAGAACAGGAGATTTTGGTTTTTTTTGACAGAGTCTCGCTGTGTTACCCAGGCTGGAGTGCAGTGACACGATCTCGGCTCACTGCAACCTCCTGGTTCAAGTGATTCTCCTGCCTCAGTCTCCCAAGTAGCTAGGACCACAGGCACGTGCCACCACACCTGGCTAATTTTTGTATTTTTAGTAGAGATGGGGGTTTGCCCTGTTGGCCAGGCCAGTCTCAAACTCCTGGCCTCAAGTGATCCACCTGCCTCGACCAGCCTGGCCAACGTGGTGAAACCCTGTCTTCACTAAAATACAAAAATTAACCAGGCGTGGTGGAGGGTGCCTCTAGTCCCAGCTACTCAGGAGGCTGAGGCACGATAATCACTTGAACCCGGGAGGTGGAGGTTGCAGTGAGCCGAGATGGTGCCACTGCACTCCAGCCTGGGAAACAAGGGAAATTCCATCTAAAAAAAATTTTTTTTTCAGCTGTCATGAGCATGCTGATTCCTTAATAGGGAAATTCTGGATGACATGGGGAGTCTGTGGGTGGCTGGGCCTCTCGGTGAATGTGCTGTTCCATGAAGCTGATGCTCTTCCTGGAAGTCAAATGACCAGAAACCCAATTTCTGCACCTCATAGTCAATGGGAGACTCAGAGTCATCAGATTCATTCTGTGTTGGTGACATGGAGACTGAGCTGCTACCAACGGAGGGGGTCACAAAATTCATCAGAACTTTAAACCACATCAGGGATTTTAGATAAAAGGATAAGACCATATTGAAGGCCTCCTGGGAAACATCATTTCAATTATTTTCAAATGGGTAGCTCCAGTTGTGAAATCTTCTATCAACTTATAAGTCCTGGTACCAACATGTATAAAAATTTACTCCTTAAATGTTGATTGTTCATGTCTAAAACACATTTACCTTGACTGTAATTTGTGTAAGACAGTACGATATGATATTGTTGTAACCCTCAGAGTTCCTAAGACATTCACCTGTGCGTAGAAAAAATATTGGAAAAATGGGCTGGGCGCGGTGGTTTATGTCTGTAATGCCAGCACTTTGGGAGGCCAAGGTGGGCGGATCACCTGAGGTCAGGAGTTCGAGACCAGTCTAGCCAACATGGCAAAACCCTGTCTCCAATAAAAATACAAATATTAGCCAGGCATGGTGGCGCATGCCTACAATCGCAGCTACTCAGGAGGCTGAGGCAGGAGAATTGCTTGAACCTGGGAGGCAGACGTTGCTGTGAGTTGAGACTGGGCCATTGCAATCTAGCTTTGGTAACAGAGTGAAACTCTGTCTCAAAAAATGAACAAACAAACAAAAAACAAAAAAAGAAAGAATATTGGAAAAATGTGTTCCTTTCTCTGATACATTTCCTGAATGGGCAGTGAGTGGCTCTTGACTTACTGGGGTTTCATTAGTATATTAGTGTGCCAAACAAGATCCCTGCCTTATAAAATATGGAGAATTAAATTATTTTCATTGGCGCATAAAAGACTAGAAAAGCTCAGTAAGGGTATATGATTCATTGTATGTCATCTCCAATTCTTCCCTCTTTTGTAGTGGATATCCAGCTTGGAGCTGCATCAGCCCCTCGTACCTTCTCAGGTTAGTGAAATGTTTACACTAAAGCCAGAAGGATGTATCTGATATCAAGAGGCCTTTGAGTGCTTTAACTTCACAAAGTGAGGCTCCATTTCTTCTAACCTTGTCATTTACAAAGAACAAGCGATGCCAGAGGAAAATACAAACAATGAGTATGATTTACTTACGGGAGGACGTGAGGACATCACGTCCACACCAAGGAGCAGGAAACAGCAAGTTATTGGGGTAAATGTCTTGCATCTGGAGAACCGTAAGTTAAAGTAGTTCTATATTGAACTTTGAGAAATATATAGTAACTATGAGACTACAAAGTTAATCAAGAACTGGAAGTAAAATATCGAAAATGAAATGAATGTGGGTTAGGCAACAGACACAAGATGAAGACCCAGCCCCCGCCATGGAATTATGAATCTTCGTTTGGTGCGGATCCCAAATCCTGTAAGAGAGCAATTCTCAGAGTCCGCAACTCCCCCTTTCATCCAGGTGCAGCCTTTGTGAGGGAGAACCACCGGCAACTCCAAGCCAGGATTGGGGACCTGAAAGGGGTGCTCGATGATCTCCAAGACAATGAGGTTCTCAGTGAGAATGAGAAGGAGCTGGTGGAGCAGGCAAAGACACGGCAGAGCAAGACCGACGCCCTGCTGAGCATGGTGGAGAAGAAAGGGGACCGGGCCTTGGAGCTGCTCTTCAGAAGCCTTAGTGAAAGGGACCCTTACCTCGTGTCCTATCTTAGACAGCAGAGTTTGTAAAGGGAGTCAGTCCGAGAGTGTGGAAGAGAGAATCCAGCGTTCTCATTGGAAATGAATGAGTAGAGATGCATCCTTGATTCCAGTGTCCAAAACAGAGGAGGGCTGGGTCACATTTGCCCGTCACACAGGCTTTGGGGACAGATACGTGACCTGGAAGACACCCATGGGCTGTATCCCCATGCCTTTCCCTCAAGAATATCTGAAGAAAATAACAATCGTGCTTTTAAATCTTTTCTAACCATGGCTCGATATATGACTGTTCCATCCATTGACACGTTTCCCGAAGACCCAGGGTGAGTAAGTCAAAGCAGTTGTGTTTATACATGATAGGCTCCAGAAAGGAAAATTCTCCTGATGAACCTGAAAACCAGCTTTTATGGACGCTCTGTTTGATGTCTCACCATTCCACCACAAAAAGCAGGAACGCGAACAAAACCTCTCAATCGAAGAGACTCAAGGTATTTCTTAATGGTAGTGGTTTTATATACGTTGTTCCTTTAACATTTTATCTATTGCTGTTATTACTAGAATAATGTAAGTACGTTATTCTACAAGTACCCGGGAGGTGGAGGCTGCAGTGAGCCGAGGTCGCACCATCACATTCCAACCTGGGCGACAGATGGAGACTCCATCAAAAAAAAAAAAACAAAAAACCTTGGGAAATTGCTATGTATCTTGTACTTTTAATCATTGAGATTTGTGTAACTCATTGACTGTTTCAATAGCTCTCGAGGAAAAGGGCCTATTAACGGATTTCCAGATATTTCCCATTTCTGCCGCTCTTGATTTTGCAAGTTTCATTCTGCAGTTTTCTTTTTTGTCTGAAAAACTTTGATTTGTAGTTCTTTTAAAGCAGATCGGATAGCTATGACTTCTCTTACTTTCCTTTCTTTCTTTTTTCTTTTTTTTTTTTTTTTTTTGAGACAGAGTCTTGCTGTCGCCCAGGCTGGAGTGCAGCGGTATGATCTCAGCTCACTGCAACCTCCACCTCCCAGGTTCAAGCAATTCTCCTGCCTTAGCCTCCCAAGTCGCTGGGACTACAGGCGCCCACCACCACGCCCAGCTAATTTTTTTGTATTTTTAGTAGAGATGGGGTTTCACCATGTTGGCCAGGCTGGTCTCGAACTCCTGACCGAAGTGATCCACCCACCTTGGCCTCCCAAAGTGCTGGGATTACAGATGTGGCCCACCGTGCCTAGCCATGGCTCATCCTCGTATTGTAAGTAATTTTGATTTGTACCCTGGACATTTGAATGTTATGTTATGAGACTCTATGATTCATCTGTATTCAACACAAAGTGTCCATTTTTTTTAAGTCTTCTATGAAGTGAGGTTTTCATGTTAGCTCATTTTTAAAGTCTGTGCAGTTCTGTCTATCCCGTGTGTGCCTGTGAGATGGGGCGGGGGTTGACCTGCTAGTGCGGGTCTCAGGGCCTTTAAATGGGAATTAGGATCACAGCAGTGGATGCCCAAGTTGGGGTTAAGCCTCGGAATTCATAAAAGTCTTCACGGACTCGCATTCTGCCGCTCCATGTGCTTTATTATTGTTATGGTGAGAGAAATGGCATTTTGTTATTTTTCTATACCCTAACTTGAAGTAGAACTGAACTTTTGCATTTGAAGATTGAACGCCATAATTTTATGAAAAAAATAAAAATATGTCATTATTAAAACAAAGCAAGGTATATATTCATATGAGTTTTATTGATTCATTTGAGTATGTGAAGTTAAAAATACAAGTCCATGGCCGGGCGCGGTGGCTCAAGCCTGTAATCCCAGCACTTTGGGAGGCCGAGACAGGTGGATCACGAGGTCAGGAGATCGAGACCATCCTGGCTAACACGGTGAAACCCTGTCTCTACTAAGAAATACAAAAAACTAGCTGGGCGAGGTGGCGGGCGCCTGTAGTCCCAGCTACTCAGGAGGCTGAGGCAGGAGAATGGCGTAAACCCAGGAGGCGGAGCTTGCAGTGAGCTGAGATCTGGCCACTGCACTCCAGCCTGGGCGACGGAGCAAGACTCCGTCTCAAAAAAAAAAAAAAAAAAAAAAATACAAGTCCATTAAAAAGAAGCCACTAGGCTTCTTTTCTAAGTGACGTGTGTCACTGAGAGCTGATGTTACCCTTTCACTTCCAAAAGTCTTTTTCAGAAGATAGCGTTTTAATTAATGTTAACATAAAGTGTACGAAATATATTAGTTGACTAACTCTACTTTTGTCATATCTTGATAAACTCTTTAAGAGCTAAAGGCTAGATATTATAAAATTAGGACCCGTTTATCCAGTATATACATAATATATACAGTGTGGCAAAGATAAATGGAATGCAGGCTGGACGCAGTGGCTTACGCCTGTAATCCCAACACTTTGGGAGGCTGAGGCAGGCGGATCACCTGAGGTCAGCAATTCGAGACCAGCCTGACAATAATGGAGAAACCCCTTCTCTACTAAAAATACAAAATTAGCAGGGCGTGGTGGCCCATACCTGTAATCTCAGCTACTTGGGAGGCTGAGGCAGGATAATCGCTTGAATCTGGGACGCGGAGGTTGCAGTAAGCCGAGATTGCACCACTGCACTCCAGCCTGGACAACAGAGTGAGACTCTGTCTCAAAAAAAAAGAGTAAAGACTCCAAAGACCAAAGTTCCATTAACTGGCAAGTAATGGATCCAGGTCTACAACATTCTATCTCCTAATGTCGTCTCCAGATTAATTTTTTAAATCACCCAGGGTAGCAATCTGCAATGTCCTCCGGATCTGTGTCAACTCTTGTGTGGCAAATGACTGAAAGTTCAACTTCAATGGAATAAAAATATATAGAGCGTGTCCTGGCTCTACTGAATGCAAGGACAGGAGGTAGGACTGACCCCAGGGAGGCTGATCCATGGGCTCCAAAAACACCACAAGGAAGGAACGTTTCTCCAGGTGTCCACCTGGCCTTCCGTGGTGTTGGCTCCACACAGTATTCACATGAAGCCTCACATCTCACAAGAGACGACTGGGAGAAGAGCAAGGGCAGCCTCTGATCCCTCCCGATGAGGAGAAGGCTCCTCGGGATGTTGTAATGTCTCACAGACACATTTCCCATTCGGCCTATGTCTCCAGGAAGTCAGGGGAGCAGATTAAATTTTCAAAATTGCCGGGCGCGGTGGCTCAAGCCTGTAATCCCAGCACTTTGGGAGGCCGAGGCGGGCGGATCACAAGGTCAGGAGATCGAGACCATCCTGGCTAACACGGTGAAACCCTGTCTCTACTAAAAATACAAAAAACTAGCCGGGCGAGGTGGCGGGCGCCTGTAGTCCCAGCTACTCGGGCGGCTGAGGCAGGAGAATAGCGTAAACCCAGGAGGCGGAGCTTGCAGTGAGCCGAGATCGCGCCACTGCACTCCAGCCTGGGGGACAGAGCAAGACTCCGTCTCAAAAAATAAATCAATAAATAAATTTTCAAAATCACGCCTAGGGTCAAGATGGCTGGCTGGACACAGCCCAGAAGCACCACTCCCACCGAGAGAAACCAAGATACTGGGTAAACCAGCAGACTTAGAGCAGATCTTCGGAGAGAAAACACCAAGAGCTGATACAAAGGCGATGCAGATGCCAGGGCTGAAGAACGAGGAACCTGGGAATGTGGTGTGGGGTAGCGGAACGCTAGGGCCAGTTCCCAGCACTGAAAGACTCCTAGGGGAGGGGTGAGTGAAGGGACAGAGGGACGGCAGGCTCTCACCACAGACCGCTGATGTACCAGCTATAGGAGACCGCACGCCTTCCATAGACATTTTTTTTTTTTGCTTTTGAGACGGAGTTTCGCTCTTGTTGCCCAGGCTGGAGTGCAATGGCGCGATCTCAGCTCACTGCAACCTCCGCCTCTCAGCTTCTAACAATTCTCTTGCCTCAGCCTCCCGAGTAGCTGGGATTACAGGCTTGTGCCACCATGCTCAGCTAATTTTTGTATTTTTAGTAGAGACACGGTTTCACCATGTTGGCCAGGCTGGTCTCGAACTCCTGACCTCATGATCCACTCGCCTCAGCCTCTAAAAGTGCTGGGATTATAGGTGTGAGCCACCGCGCCCAGCCTCCATAGACATTTTGTCAGAGACATGTGAACCAGAGCAACTCCATCTTGAGTAGGAGCTGGACAAAATGAGGCTGAGACCTACTGGGCTGCATTCCCATAAACACTTGGTTTATTGATGGTAGTTCTTCAAGGCCTAATCGTCAGTCACCGGCAAGGGCAGGCTATGCTGTAGTGTCTTTCACATCTGTCATTGAAGCTACTGCCCTGCCCCCTTCCACTGCCTCTCAACAAGCCAAACTCATTGCTTTAACCCAGGCTGTTATCCTTGCAAAGGGACTACGTGTCAATATCTACACTGATTCCAAGTATGCCTTCCACGTCCTACAATGCTGTCACCATGCTGTTATATGGGCAGAAAGAGGTTTTCTCACTACACAAGGTTCCTCCATCGTCAATGCTTCCTTAATAAAAATTCTCCTTCAGGCTGCTCCACTGCCCAAGGAAACCGGAGACAACGCTTATGCTGATAATGCAGCAAAGGAAGCAGCTAGTTTCCCCACATCTGTCCCTCATGGCCAGTTGTTTTCCTTCTCAACTATCACTCCCGCCTATTCTCCCACTGAAACTATTACCTATCAATCCCTTTCTCAAGGGACTGGGGAAGGGATTTCCCTCATTTCCCTTACTCAAGGCAAATATCCCTTGCGTAAGGGCACCTATAGTGAGAAATGAGAATGCATTAAATGTGGACTAATACTGGAGGTTCAGGTAAGCCACAGAGACGTAGCTACATGGCATATTATGTCCTGTTTAAGTCATAGGTAGGAATACTTTCAACTGTACAGAAAACGTACACTCTCATATGACAAACACCTATCATCAAGTACATAATATAAAATGAGCTATTTACTTAACTCCCTTAACAAGTACATTTTAAGTACTATCCTCAGGCAAGTGCCACAACCGGAGGCAATCAGCCAGGCCAAATGAACGTCCAGTTATAAACTACAACCTATCAGTGTATAATGTTACCCACGAAACACATACAACAAATGCCAAAATGTTTACTGTGCCTGTGTGAATGTCTTAGAAATATGTAATATGATGAACATGACTTTCTCTGTACTTTCAACTTTTATAATGTTCACATTTGTCATAGATAAATACATGAATATATTTCATCTGGCAAAATGTTTTCCATTTTCCTTACAATCGAAATGTATTTCGAAGATGGGTGTTTTAAATTCAGATTCTACTGACCATGGGTCTTCTTTCTCATGAGCAGACCAAATGCAATGTGAAGGGAATCACGGGGAGCCCTGGTGGGGGAGGTCTGCAGAGGCACCCCATGGACACAGAACAGGACACGAATCATGAGGTGATCATACTCGAGATGTCTCAGATAGAGCTCAGCCAAGATTTTGTAAAATTATTGAGGAGGAATTCATGCTAGAAATGATTACACTAGATGGTATTATTCTTCCAGTGAGTGGACACCTTAGGAAGTAGAGACTGGAGGGGTCCCAGAGACGTCCAGCAGCTACTGATGTTCTGTTTCTTGATCTGGGTGTGAGTTTACATGGTGGTGTCCACTGTAACGATTCAGGAATTGTTTATATTCTGAATGTGTACTATTTTTGTTGTACTTGAAAAGTGGAAAAGAAAAACCTTAGCTGATACTTTTGAAGGAGGGCATGCTTAATGATGAAGCCTGAATTGGATCTGAAATATTTTCAAAATAAAAATTTCCAATTCCATTGGTCAAAGAGATGAAGCTCCTTTGGACAGCAGGACATACATAGAACATTAATGAAATATGTCAGCACACCCCTGATAAGGTATAGGTGTCATTATAGGTGGATTTATGCAGATATGAGATGTATACCAATGAATTCTGTGTAAAGGAGTGAATCTCCAAGTATTTTGAAACTCTCGATCTGCACTATTCTTTATACCTCTTATCATCTGTACATATATTTTTTCCATTCCATGATCATTCTATATACTCTCTCTAGTTATCATGTTTTGTATGTTTAGGTCACTGATATATATCCAACCCCTAAACTGCTGCCTGAAATATGTGAGGTGGACAAACATATTTGTTGAATGAATTTAAAAAGTGGCTTAGAGCAGTGCAGTTTAACAGAAATATAATGCAAAGTCTAGGTGTAATTTTAGGTATTTCAATAGCTGCATTAAAAAGGAGCAAAACCAAGCGGAAAACCTCCTTTTAATTATGTGTAATATGTTCATTTAACCCCCAAATAATAACTTGCACATATAATCAATGTGAATATTGTTTCTATGATACTTATGTATGGTTATTCATAGTAAGACATTATAATCTCTTTTAAAAATTAATGAAATGTTAGACCTAAAGCCATAAAAACCCTAGAAGAAAACCTAGGCAATACCATTCAGGACATAGGCATGGGCAAGGACTTCATGACTAAAACACCAAAAGCAATGGCAACAATAGCCAAAATAGACAAATGGTATCTAATTAAACTAAAGAGCTTCTGCATGGCAAAAGAAACTACCATCAGAGTGAATACGCAACCTACAGAATGGGAGAAAATTTTTACAATCTACTCATCTGACAAAGGGCTAATATCCAGAATCTACAAAGAACTTAAACAAATGTACAAGAAAAATCAAACAACCCCATCAAAAAGTGGGCAAAGGATATGAACAGACACTTTTCAAAAGAAGACATTTATGCAGCCAATAGACACATGAAAAAATGCTCATCATCACTGGCCGTCAGAGAAATGCATATCAAAACCACAATGAGATACCATCTCACACCAGTTAGAATGGCGATCATTAAAAAGTCAGGAAACAACAGGTGCTGGAGAGGATGTGGAGAAATAGGAACACTTTTACACTGTTGGAGGGACTGTAAACTAGTTCAACCATTATGGAAGACAGTGTGGTGATTCCTCAAGGATCTAGAACTAGAAATACCATTTGACCCAGCAATCCCATTACTGGGTATATACCCAAAGGATTATAAATCATGCTGCTATAAAGACACATACACACGTATGTTTATTGCAGCACTATTCACAATAGCAAAGACCTGGAACCAACCGAAATGTCCATCAATGACAGACTGGATTAAGAAAATGTGGCACATATACACCATGGAATACTATGCAGTCATAAAGAAGGATCAGCTCATGTCCTTTGTAGGGACATGGAGGAAGCTAGAAACCATCATGCTGAGCAAGGACAGAAAACCAAACACCACATGTTCTCACTTGTAGGTGGGAATTGAACAATGAGATCACTTGGACACAGGAAGGGGAACATCACACACTGGGATGTGTCGTGGGGTGGGGGAAGTGGGGAGGGACAGCATTAGGAGATATACCACGAGATATACACGGGTTATGAGTAATAACCTCCTGCAGCATCTTAGTTTAGTGTTTGATAACTAACCTGAGTACCAGATTGTTTAAGTAAAACTTTAAGCAACTGCATATAATGTTGCTCTTCAATAGACAAAGTCTGCCCCATGTTACTCTTATTCAGAAACTTTCCATTCCTAGTACTCTTCAGGGCACTGACCTTATATCCCAGTACCTCCTTAGGGCACTGGCCTTGTATCTGCTGACAGCCGCAGACTCTTCCCCGGGTTTCTGATTCGTCTGGTCAGTTTCACTTTCTCTGCTCCAGCAGACCTTCTTTGCCCACGTCCCTGTTTGGCCATGGCTTGTCGCTGTCAGTTGCTACTGGATTGAACGAAGGGGGACAAATGCAAAAATAAAGACAAAGACAAAAAGATCTGCTTTAAAAGAAAGGGTCGGGGTCTCCTTGCTCCTAGTGAACAAGGGCCCAGAACTTTTACAGCCCTTCGTATTTATTAGGTAGAAAGGGCAGGGAGGGAGAGGTAATGGTTGGTCAGCTGCTTGATTTATCACAGGTTCACAAAATTGCTTTCTTTGTACAACAGGCTTCAGATGTTCCTAGAGATAATCACAAGGAACACTGTGCTTGGGGTGCGACTGCCCTCAGCACCCCTTCTGGTGGCAGATGCAGCTGTCAGTTTTCCAACATCCTGCTTTCATGTGAACAGTTTTCTGTTTGCTGATATAGCCTCCAGTGGTATGCTGAGTTGGTCACAACCCTCATTCTTTCGGCCTGTAACACCCCCAGATGTGACAAAGCAGCCCAGAGAACCCCCAGTGGAAGAAACATGTAAAAAACTACACAGACTGCTTCGTAAGATTTCCAGATTCTTTTCATGGCAAGACATAATACAGTAACATTTGAATGGAGAGGAGGCCATCGTCACCCAGGGAGCCACACAGAGGAGGCTGCTCCTGAAGAAATGTAATAGCAAGCTGGCACTGCAGGAGAGGGAGTTTAGGTGGGATTAGCTAGGTTTCAAGGGCTTTCCATGGATTGGCTAATTTGCATAATTCTGCAGGTTATGGGACATGGGGGCTATTTCTAGTTGTTTGGTACATGGGCCAAGGGCCATTGGGGTGAGTGCATTATGGCCCCAGAGTGTGAGAGCCAAATAAGAAGAGAAGTGTTGGAGGTTGATTTAATCAGCTGCTCAAGAAGCACTGAAAGGCCTCCACCCATGGCTTCAAAACTGGGCAGGACAACATTGAAAGACATAAAGGGAGACAGACAGAGAGATCAACAGATATAGAACTAGTGGTTGTCAATTTCAGGGGATAAATTTTGTTAGAAAATAAGGAGTCAGTTTGTCATTACTTTTTTTTTTTTTTTTTCCCCCAGACAGGGTCTCGCTCTGTTGCCCAGGCTGGAGTGCAGTGGCATGATGACAGCTCACTGCAGCCTCAAACTCCTGGGCTCGTGCAATCCTCCCACCTCAGCCTCCTGATCAGCTGGGACTGACTGCAGGTGTCCACCACTGCGCCCAGCTAATTTTTGTATTTTTTGTAGAGAAGGGGTTTCACCATGTTGCCCAAGCTGGTCTCAAATTCCTGGGCTCAAGCGATTCCACCCATGTTGGCCTCCCAAAGTGCTGGGATTATAGGCGTGACACACTGTACCCTGCAATCATGACTTTTTTTTTTTAATAGCTGGGATTCCCTTCATGGCCTCTTTTCCTGTATACTCCCACATCCTTTAACTTCAGCATACTTGCTTCCTCTGGGAGACTTTGCCTTAGATTTGCTGACCTCCCCACACACTCTGCTGGGTTCTGGATCCCTGCTCTGTGCACCTCTAACTCACTGTACATCATATCTCCACAACTGGACATAATGTCCTGATATTATCATTGTGTGCCTATATGTCTGTCATACTTACCACGCTGCACTCCTGGAGGACGGGAGCCTGATCTCATTCATCTGCTTGGCCATTCCCCAATGCCCACTGCAGGGTGGGACAGGTAGCAGATGCTTGATAAACATTTCCTGAAAAATAAATGAATCAGATCCCCGTGATCATCGTTGTTGCTGTTGTTTATCGAACACACCATGTGTCAAGTGCTTGGCTAATGCTTCCTATGCACAGTTGCATTTAAACCTTACAGCAATATCATTAAATCAGCACTCTTGCTGTCCCTATTTCATGGGAGGCTGAAGCTTAGAGAGGTGATGTAAACAACATGATGCCAGCCTGAAGGAGAGACTGCTCATATGAAAGTGCTGGGGGAGAAAGAGAGACAGACACACACACACACACACACACACACACACACACACCCCTACAAGGGAGGAGAGAAGAGAAGGGAGGAAGGAAGGAAGGAAGGGAGGGAGGGAAGGAGGGGGAAAAGGATGGGAGGGGAGGGGAGGGGATGGGAGGGAAGGGGAGACAAGACTAGCACTGAGATTTATTTTCCTTTTTTTTTTTTTTGAGATGGAGTCCCACTTCGTCTCCCAGGCTAGAGTGCAATGGCAGGATCTTGGCTCACTGCAACCTCTGCCTCCCGGGTTCAAGTGATTCTCCTGCCTCAGCCTCCTGAGTAACCGGGATTACAGGCGTCTGCCACCACACCCAGCTAAGTTTTGTATTTTTAGTAGAGATGGAATTTCACCATGTTGGTCAGCTGGTCTTGAACTCTTGACCTCAGGCGATCCACCTGCCTCAGCCTCCCAAAGTGCTGGGATTATAGGCATGAGCCACCACACTCAGCCTATTTTTCGAAGGAAGGAAGGAAGGAAGGAAGGAAGGAAGGAAGGAAGGAAGGAAGGAAGGAGGGAGGGAGGGAGGGAGGGAGGGAGGGAGGGAGGGCGGGCAGGCAGGGAGGCAGGCAGACACACACTAGGATTGAGATTTATTTTTCTTAAAAAGTGGTCAGTCCAGACATGGTGGCACATGTTTATAGTCCCAACTACCTGGGAGACTGAAGCAGGAAGATCACTTGAGCCCAAGAGTTTGAGGCTGCAGTAAGCTATGATCATGCCACTGCAGTTCAGCCTGGGCAACAGAGTGAGACCCTGTCTCTTAAAAAATAATAATAATAAGAGAGAGCAGTGGTCAGTAGGATTCAATAATTATTTTATTTAATACACTAGCATTTATTGGGTGCCTATATGTTGAGTTTCCAGTGATGAACAAGATGCCTGCTGTTATAACCCCAGAAGGTGGATGGAGACAGATAGATACTGAACTCCTGGTGCTCAGTTATGGATGTTTCTCGATTATCCACCCAACATCCATCCCTCTTCCCTCTTCTTAAAAGGACCCATGTCTTATTTCCAGCGTCCGCTCCTCACACATCCTACGAACATCAAAAAAACCTGTTGCCACCTCCACCTCCAAGGATATTTCACTCCCCTAATCACAATTATGGATTTACATGAGGGGCAAGTGACTTAGGCCCAGTCATGGGGGAGCCAGTTTTGGAGCTCTTGTTACAATGCTGGGAGTGGGGCCTGGAGTAAACCAGCTGGGGCACCCATGGTTGAGTGGTGCAAGGTAGTCCATCTGCCTCTTTTATGAGCACTGTGAAAACTCCATTTCAACATTTCTGACTTTACTCAGAGAAGTAAAGGCTTTTGTGGCTGTAGCCAAACGGAGTCCAAAGGGACTCAGGAATATGCCAAACTGCTACCTTCTTCCAGGCGGACTGTCTGGATTGTGCTCTGATTAATTTGCCATAGGTTCCTCCCTCTCCAGGGATGGCCTGGCTCCAGCCATTCTGCAACCAAAAGCATAACCAGCCCTTTCCTGTAGCTGACCCTCAGATGGCAGAAGACCCAAAGGAAATATATATATACACACACATATATATACATACACACACACACACACACACACACACACACACACACACACACATATATATTTTTTTGAGACAGAATCTCGCTCTGCCACCCAGGCTGGACTGCAGTGGAGCGGTCTCAGCTCACTGCAACCTCCGCCTCCCGGGTTCAAGCCATTTTCCTGTCTCAGCCTCCCAAGTAGCTGGCACTACAGGCGCCCGCCACCAGGCCCGGCTAATGGTGAAACCCTGCCTCGACTAAAAATACAAAAATTAGCCAGGCGTGACGGCATGTACCTGTAATCCCAGCTACTTGGGAGGCTGAGGCAGGAGAATCGATTGAAACCGGGAGGCAGAGGTTGCAGTGAGATGAGATCGCTCACTCTCCATCCCTCCAGTTCCCAGGCTGTTAGTCTAATTTCTCCCGCGAGGTCTCTAATCCCCGTCCCCTTCCACTCCAGGGTTACTGTGGCAACGCCAACCTTTGAATCCCCCTCCTGCGCGCTGAGCGGCTCGTAACCATGGAGACCGAAGCAGGTTTCCCGCCCCCGCCTCGTCACCCAGAGACTGCAGCCCCGGGGCCCAGACCCTTTGGACAAGGAGAGCCGAGCGGGCCCCACAATGCTCCGTGGGTAAAGGGGTCCTCCCCACTCCTCTCCTGCCTGCCGACGGAGGAAACACCCCGCAACATGCACAAGCACAGACGGAGTTCTGGGCCCTCACGCCCAGAGGATTCTAGTTCTGCGGATTCTACTGCGCAGGCCCTCACGCTTAGGAAAGGGACTTGGGCGCGAAAGCGCTGGTGGCGCTCAGCCTGCTGGGAGTTGTAGTTTTCTGGCTGCGACCGCAGGAGATACAGGTGGCCAATGGGTGAGCTGGATGGAGGTAAGAACAAGGTTAAGGAAGCTGGGATCTTCGTGCAGGTTGGATCGTCACCATAGCAACAATGAAGCATCACGAAGTGCTAGTTCTGCTAGGCAGTCTGCCATTTTCATTCTTTCATCTTTTTTTTTGTTTTCACTCAAAGCTTACTTTGCAACAGGCACTGTTCTAGGCACTGGGGATACAATGGAAAACAAAATAGAGCTTATATTTTGGCGGGAGGAGATCGACAATAACAGTGAACACATGTTACTGGAAAAGCAGTATGTTAATAAGTAATTGGGCTGCTTTGGGAAAAAATGGAAATGCAGGCAATGTTAGAACACTGGCATACACACTAATTCATTTATCCTCACAAAGCCCTATAGACAGATACTATTATGACCCCTCAACTGTAACATAGGCTGAACTGAAGGTCACATGACAAGGAAGTAGCGGAGCTGGGATTTGAACCCAGGCAGTCTGACTTCATACTTGATAAGCTTAACCACAATGCAAAATTGGTAAATAGCTGTGTGGCATAATTTCAGGTAGTGATAAGTGCTGTGAAGGATAAAGCAAAGAAAGGGGCTGGGGTGGCTCTTTGGAGAGACTACTTAGGGATGGCTTTCAGGAAGAGGTGGCATTTGAGCAGGGGCGTGAGGGACTGATGTGACTTGTGATAAGAGAAAAACTTCAGACTAATTAAATTTAAAGAAGTTTAATTGACTGGGCACGGTGGCTCAAGCCTGTAATTCCAGCACTTTGGGAGGCCGAGGAGGGTGGATGGCTTCAAGTCAGGAGTTTGAGACCAGCCTGGCCAACATGGCAAAACCTCGTCTCTACTACAAATACAAAAATTAGCTGGGTGTGGTGGCGGGCACCTGTAGTCCCAGCTACTCGGGAGGCTGAGGCACAAGAATTGCTTGAACCCAGAAGGTGGAGGTTGTAGTGAGCTGAGATCGCGCCATTGCACTCCAGCCTGTGCAACAGAGCGAGACTCCATTTCTAAATAAATAAATAGAGTTTAATTAAGCCAATGAAAGATTCACGAATCAGGCAGCCTCGGGCAAGAGTAGGCTGAAACTCCAGCACAGCCATGTGGTGGAAGATTTACGGACAGAAAAAGGAAAGTGACGTACAGAAAACCGAAGTCAGGTACAGAAACAGCTGGATTGATTACAGCTCGGCGTTTGCCTTATTTGAACACAATTCGAACAGTTGGCTACATTTGATTGCCCAAAACTTGGTGATTGGCACAAGTGTAGGCCACCTTCTGTTTACATCTCCACTTGTTATAGTTCACGACGTACAGAAAAACCTTCAGGCTGAACTTAAAATACATAAGGAGACAGCTTTAGGCTAAACTTGATTTAACACTGGTGAGCTGGACATGTGGGGCATATGGAGGGTTAAAGGTCACTAACCTTTAGTTTCCTCTTGCCTTCCTGAAGGGCCACATACTGTAATACCTGCAGTTCCCTCCAATAAGAACGTACTTCTTCATTCTCTTTTCCTGGCAAACACATTCTTCAAGGTCCAGTTCTGTGAAGATCCTTCTGCCTGTTTTTTTTAAATTTAGTTTTATTTGTTTATGGTCACATACATCTCTTCCTGGTCTGGACTCATCCAATCCATTTGTCACAGTAAAGCTTCGGGGGCAGGGGAGGTGGTTATTCTAACGTACATCCAATCAAGCCGCTCTCTGTTTAAAACCTTTTGAAGGCTTCCCGTACCTCCCAGGATAAAGACTCACCTCATCTTCTATCTTTAAGGGCTTGCAAATCTCACTCTCCAAATCTCTCCCTCTCTCACACTCTGACCCAGCTACCCTGGCCCATCTTCTCTTTATCTTATGGGCTGAGCTCTTTTCCACCCCAGGGCTCTGTGTGTTATTTGGTGAATGAATTAATGAATTAATTCAGTTTCCCGTCACTAACCAGATAACCCACATCTAAGAATCTAATGATAAAACAGGCAAGTGGAGAAGTTTTGGATTTGGTCTGCACTCAATTGCTGTTGTTTGCCTTCCCAGGATCCCTCCTGCCTCCTTTTCTTTCCTTCCTTCCCCCCCTTCCTTCCTTCCTTCCTTCCTTCCTTCCTTCCTTCCTCCCTCCCTCCCTCCCTCCCTCCCTCCCTCCTTCCTCCCTCCCTCCCTCCCTCCCTCCCTTCCTTCCAGCAGAGTAGCTGCTTTCATTTTTTTAAAAAAGCCTATTTCAGATAATTGTAGGTTTATGATCAGTCGCTTTGCTTTTCAAAGTATAACATGCATACTAGGATCTTGTTAGAATGAGATTCTGATTCTGTAGTTTTGGAGTGGGTCTGAGAATCTGCATTTCTTTCTTTTTTTTTTCTTTCTT